TTATGTTTGATGTTACGTTTCTTTTGGAAAATTGTTAAAAAACAATAAAATACTTTGAAAAGTAAAAATAAGAATTTGGTATCTGTGATCATTATACTTAAATCTATTTTGATGTAATGTCCTAGAATACCTCCAACCTCCCTGAGGAAGCACATACAGCTGCGAAACGCGTCGGAGATGGGGCCCACAGTGGATCATACAACTATTACAGAAATCAGGACTCAAGGAGTCCATGTTATACTAATGAATTATATATATATGTACACATGTATGGGCACCAAAAGGAGGTAGCTTGATTTCAATGTAACAGTGTATCATGTCAATGACATTTTAATTGTAACCAAGTCTTTATGTATTAAATATACGTTTATACAAAACCATGTATGTTTGATGGACGTCTTGTATGGTTTGGACACTTTTAAAGCCCCGCTTTTCTTTTCTTGTATACAATTCTAATTGGGGGTGTGGTGCCCATCCCTAATGGTTCAATTTAATTCCTATGCTTTAAACTGAGGAAAACTGCGCTAAACGTACAGGGTTAATTTCAGTGCTGGCTGGCATGGCCAGAAGTTCTCAGGGCAATAAATCTACACTGCTAAGACATCTAATTGATTCTCCTTATTGCACAGCCTGCAATGCGGGGTATGTGACTAGCTACAACAATTTTGAAGTCTCCTCCTGTGTTTCTGATGTCTGCTGTTCTAGATTGTAAATGTCAAAAGGGTTACAGGGTCACTGTCAACTGGTTAATTTTCCTGAAGAACCATGCTAATGAGGCCCCATTCCATCCCCAGGCCCCATTGCAGCCACATAGGTTGCTATAGATATTGTTATGCAACTGCATGGAAGGGTTAGAACTAGGGATGCACCGATACCAGTTTTTCGGTATCATGTATGAGTACCGATATTTTTTTCCGGTACTCGCCGAAAGCGAATACCGATGCCATGTGCCCAGATAATCTGGATGGTGTTGCAGCTTGCACAGGGTTAAAAATGTGTCATCCGTCTCACACGACAATGTTCAGGCCTGGAGTTTGGCAGCTAGTCTCAAACACCACACCATGATAGCAGGTCACATGCTCTCCCATTTTCCTGTTGCAGAAGTTGTTCGAGTTATATCTTAGCCTTTAATAACAGAACTTGCCTTTTACACCCATTTTTTCCCTGAAAACAATATGAGTCTTTGGAGGACACCTGTGCTGAGGGGTGTGGTTGTTACTCAGCTATGCCAGCACAGAGCACTGGAGTGTGAGACCAGGAAACACATTTTTATTGAGAGAAAACACCATTGAGGAGTACAAACTATAAATATAAATTTATTTTCCATTGATGTATTTTTTGAGGAGAATGAACTACCATGGTCAAAAATAAATGTGCAAAGCTTGATCTGGGGTACCACATCATTCAGGTCTCACCTTTTCTTCACTTAGAAAATGGAAATTGAATCTCTCTCCTTTGGGCAACAACTTTACTTTTGTTCCAGTTTTCTCGGTTCCAATATTTCTATGTCTAGGTTGTGTTTTCACATTACTGAGCATAGCTGTATGGCATGACCACAACGTACCTGCAGAGGAGAATTTCGACAACCATGTTTGGTTTAATGGCGCCCAAACAGTAGCCATTACTTGAGTAAAACCTGTCTCCAGACATGCATTATCATGCCTCCCAACACTATTCCACAATGTATACGAAAACCCCCTTACCAGCTTTTTAAATTATGTGATGTAACATAAGCCTCTGGGGCAAGAATATATCGCATAGCTGCAGTCTTCAGGACCTGAGAAGACCCCACCGTTGGACACCCGATGGGAAGTTCCCACCTCACCGAGGCCGAGATGTGGACACCCAAAAAAGAACCCTCCTCTGCAGTGAAAAAGATAGAAGACTTAGGATCCCGCACATCATGTGAATGTGATTTAGGTAAACAAAGGGACTTTTAGAGTTTTTTTTTTAATTTTAACTCAGTGTTTTGGGGGGGCATTTTGTTTAGTCTACACTAGGGTAAGCAACCTCAGCTCCTCAGCTGTGGTGAAACTACAAATGCCATGAGCTATTGCAAGATTCTGACAGACACAGGCATGCCTCCCAGAGTCACAGGCATGATGGAATCTGTAGTTCCCCCACAACAGGTGTGCCAAGGTTGCCTATCCCTCGTCTATGGTCTACATTTTTTGGTTTCTGAGTATTGTATGAATATAGAATTGCATGAACATATGCAGTGGCGTATTTTGGTTTTGTGCAGCCCTAGGCAGGACTAAACTCGGGCACCCACACTAATCTAAATTTGCTCCATCCTTACTTGATCAATAGTTTTAAAATAATCTATCTTTTTTTGCTTTTCTTTAATCTCTATAAATAAATCAAAATCATAGTTGCCCCCTCCCCCCCCTGCAGCATTTTTACTGGACAGTTGGACCAATGGTGCTTTTCCATTGGTGCAATCGTCTATACTAGCTCAATGCCTCTCTATCCCACCTCAGCACAGTCTATTATTGTCCCGTCACCAAGCCCCCTCACTAAACCCACACATTCTTCTGTACACCCCTCTTATCACTCCTCCTGTCACACGCTCATCTCTGCCGTCCATGCACAAACTAGAGTGCATAAATTTCTCTTCTACACCCCCAGACCCCCTTGACCTCTTATATAACTTCTCTATCCCCTACAGCTACAACGGGATCCCAGAACACCCCGAGCTCTCCCTCTGTTTCCAAGTCCCGCTATTTCTCCCTCTATCCCAGTGGACATGTAACCCCACCACCACCACTAGATGCCAGATCTACCCACTTGCTTGTCAGGGGTCTTCCCCCAGTATCTACTCCCTTTCTCTGTGTATTCCTGAGATCTTCTCCAACCGCTGATCCGTGAATCTGTGCTCCTCCATCAGATCTGCTGAGCTCCGGCCGATGGATGTGGCTGCATCTGGATGACAGATCCTAGAGCAGGACACATGGCCAGCACAAACATTCTCCCACTGATGGCGATACATTGTAACTGCTAGGTACATTCCATCCGATCGCAGAGTTATGTGCAAGTGACAAGGGGATGCGAGAGATTGGGGATCACCCTACACGTGCCAGGGGGATACAGGAGATATACATATACCCTAGCATAGTTGCCGCCCCCCTGGAAAGTGCCGCCCAAGGCAAATGCCTTGTTTGCCTTGTGGTAGATACGCCCCTGAACATACTGTGTATTTAATGGTAAAACACGCAGTTCTAGGCTGTACTTACAACAATTCAGTTGAATAAAAACGAGTAGAGTAAGATGAGAAGTCGGAACCTCTAGCAGGGAGAGTCTGGAGAGGTGTAATTCACCAGCGTCCTATGTCCCTATGATTACAACAGGTTTATGCATTTCTGGGGCGTGCTAGAGGTTCCGACTTCTCATCTTACTCTACTCGTTTTTATTCAACTGAATTGTTGTAAGTACAGCCTAGAGCTGCGTGTTTTACCATTAAATTACTCTTTTACACTATGGAGGCGCTTTCTTTCGTTCCTTGTCTGCTAGATTGGTGGTCAAATTGACCAGTGGGAGCTGCCTCTCTCATGTTTGCCATACTGAACTGCTGGGCACCTTGCAATTGAAGGCGCCGGTATTCTTCCGTTATACTGTATATTCATACAGATCCCTATTGAAATTAATAGAACACTACAATGTTACTACAGTGCATAGGAACAGAAATAAATTGTGTTTTTGTAACAAAGGCAACAAAGCCAGCTGAACATGTCTCCTTTATCTTTTGTTCAGAATGCTCCTGTTATTATAGACTTTTTGAAACAAAGCCTAGTGTTATGTACGCGCATCTGTATCTATTATTAAATCAGCACTCTGCAATTTACAGTGATAACCTTCATGCCTTATTGATGTAATGAGTTATACAAACACAGGAAATACTGTAAAACACTACCTACTGGAATCAGTGTGACATAACACAAAAGTGCACGGGGGAAATACAATATCTGTGTACTTAAGTCAAAGAGCTGACAGCTTGTTAAGATAGAAACTTGTGCTGTGTGTCATAGTTGCCTGTCAGTAAAGCCACCAGCTATGTGAGAGGCTGCCTGTAGAGCACACCCTTCTCACATGAGCCTGTCTGGGCTGATCCATTCAGACTAGCTTCATCCCATTAAGAAACTCTCCAATTCTCTTCACATTAAGATCTCTCTTGGAACCTGCAGCTGCTCTCTTCCTTCCCTTCAGCTGTGCTGCACTTACTCTCAAGCTTGTCAGATCCTGAATGTTTTCTGTGTAACTTTACAGGATGGAAGAAGCAGAATTGCTGAAAGAAAGGCTCTTGGCCATTACCGTAAGTTTTTATTTTACACATGTAAAATATCACAGGATTCTATTGTATAAAGTTGGATTCATGCTTGTATGAAGATTTGGTATATCAACTTGCTTTAGCAGCTGTCTGATTTGTGAACATTTGTCAGGGTAAGTGTTAGTGTTCGCAGAGATATAACCATTATCTGATACAGCAGAGTCAGGCTAGAGAGTAGGTGACACAGTGGACACTTTGTACTCTATTGAAGGGCACTGGGTCATATGCTGACCTGGCGTTTTTATGGCAAAATAAATATGAGTGAACGGCATAGAGAAGAATTTTTAGAAACTGTTATGTTCATGGAGCTGTTATAGATTTGGATATGCAAGTGATTTTTAGAAGAAAAGAGTCCTTGGACCTGTTCTAATTTCTTAATTATATAGCATGCTTCTGTTGAGTCTGTCATTGCCCAGATTTAGGACAAGTGCATACGTCATTCATATTATTTCCTGGGCTAACTATGAAGTCACTAATCCCCTGAATGTGGGGCTCAACTTGCTTGAGCCAATGAAAGGAACTGGTGCTAAAGTTAGCCAACTGGCCCCAAACTCTCTTCAGATGTTGGTGTCTGGGGAGTGATTGGTGTCCAGTAGGATATGCTCCCAGCACCTCTTTTGATTTGAATATATAAATGTTACAATTTGTTGCATTGGACGTTGGGTGACATTTACATTGAAAGATTAAATATGGGTGAACGGCATGGTGAAGAATTTTTAGAATCTGTTATGTTCATGGAGCTGTTACAGATTTGGATATGCAAGTGATTTTTAGAAGAGTCTGTTACAAGAAGAGTCTTTGGACCTGTTCTAATTTGCTAATTATATAGCAGTGATTGGTGACCAGTAGGATATGCCCCCAGCACCCCATTTGGTTTGATTTGAATATCTGAATGCTACAATATTATGATAAAAATCACTATGGGGCAGTCATTTTGAATAATCATAAGCAAGTTTAAGAGCGCTTTCAAATCAATGAAGCTTTCTGCTATAGCGTCATAGAAAAAAAGAAGCACAAAACCTGGTGATAAGGAATACTTGGCAACAGAAGAATGAAATTAGATAAGCGTTTGATTACAGAAAGGAGTATAGGCTGCTCACTTAGCAAGTGTTCAGAGAGCTTGGAAAATAAGGTGAAGCTGTGTTCACTTCAATCAACCAATCATGTTTTTACAAAAAATTTCCCTCACACATGATTGGATATTCTAAGTGAACACCATTTTACCTTTATTGCTCACAGTCACTTTGCAAATAACATACACGTTGCAAAATGAGCATTAGCTTTCCATGTGAACAGCCTCTATTCCTTTAGTAAATGAGCCCCTTAATGTCTGCTTCAAAAATCAGTATAAAAATGGGAACTAAAAGAAAGATTGTCAGGAAATCATTCAGTTCACTGAGTTTTAATAGTACTCTTTCCTCTTTCTTGCCCTCTTCAGTTTCCATACACTACCTTCTAAAATCTCCAGTTTAGTTTTAGCTTTTGGAAGATCTCACTATGATTAAGATTGCCCAGGGTGATATTGCTTAACATGTGACAGTTTCACTGAGGTTCCATTGAATAACACACCCAGATCTTTGGTAAACCCAGATCTCTGTGCCCAGGAGCCATGGGTCTTGCATGCAGCTCGCATGTGGTCAATGATAGGCTGCAGCTGAATGTTGGTAAATTTTGCTCCCAGCATGTACATCCATACAGGTTTGGATGCATGCTCCTGGATGCAGACTGTGTGCATCTGGGGGTGTATATCTGAATATGTATGGCTGTACATGCTCAGAGCAGCATTTACCAGCGTACAGCTGCAGCCTGTCATTGACATGTACAGGCGGGCTGCACACAACACCTGTGATGCCCGGGCACAGAGATCCAGGCATTTTTTATGGTACATGGACCTCTGCGGCTGTGTGAATGAGCCCCAAAGCTCAACTGTACTCTCTGGTGAAATCAGCGGAATACATTTCAGCTGTATCAAAACAAAAGAAGCGCAAAGTCTTGCAATTGTTTTTTTTAGAAAGCAGCCAGAGCCTGAGTAGAATAACCTGTCCCCTCCCAGTATGCTGCAGACCTTTGTTCCTTGTGCGGAAGCAGTGGTCTCTCTGCAGATGATCGACATGCCCCCGTGCTGAGTCAAAGCAAGCACTCTTCAATCAGCAGAGAGCATGAACTTTGCTGATTGTATAGCAATAAGTCTGACTCCACAGAAAGCAACTATGGCAGGGAACAGGCTTTTCTAATCAGGATGGGGCTGCATAAAACTAGCCATACATCTATATATTTTATGCAGATTTTCTATGGTCAGATGGAAGAAGTGCAATAGATTCCTTCATCTACGCTAAACTGTGTTGCTGGCTGTCAAAATACCTGAACAATCTGATTGGATGCAGGCATTGTTTAGGTGTTTTGAGAGCCAGTGGGGCCAACTAGCAAGATACTGAAGCTTGGCCCAGTGGGAGATTCCTCCATCCACACAGTTTAGCATAGATGGAGGAGTTTGTTGCACTTTTTCCATCTGACCATAGAAATTCTACAGACAATCTATAGGTGTATGGCCAATTTTAACAAGCCCTGGTCAATCGCTGTTAACCCTCAAAATTCTACATTTGAAAACACATTGGAAACACGCGTCAAAGGGCATATTAACGCATAAAGGGTGCATACGTTGCCATGACGATGTACTTGCCTAATGCTAGAGATGTGCTCCTTAAAGAAAATGAACTCTAAGACTTTGCTCACTTTTTCCTTTGATGCCCTTGGAAAGTGTTTAGCTGATATAAACTGAAAAGTTCAGTTGGGCATTAAAGTAAACAGTTAACAGATGGTTGCTATGGTTATTGTGCTTTGCGTGTCATCAATACTCTTCGCATTGCATTAGTGAGTAAGCCCTATCATCTACTCTGTTATATATTAACAATTATTACTTTGTTTAGTGCTGCATATCACCAGAAAGATTCAGTAACATAGGAGGATACCCACAATTTATTTCTAATGAATTGGATGCTTGTTCATTTCCGCATGAGATCAAACTAATGGAGTCCCCAAGTGATACCACCAACACACACGTACTGTAGACAATACTGTTTGGCTAATGACTCTGTAATAGGTATGTTCAAAGTTAGAGAGCACTGTTAAGGATCACACATGAATGCGAGTACAAAAATCAGTCCAACCACTTTCTTGCATGAGGTGATTAAAATGGAAACTAATGCAGATACCAACATAAATCTAATAAGACTATTTACGTTAAAAGGATCATATATTGCTGTATACAGTAACTAAAACATTCAAATACTAGATATTATCTCTAATAAATACATAGACAACAATGAGAGTTCTGTCTTACACAACATTTCATATCAACACGTCCACATTTCAGGAAATAAGAAGCTTTATGTGGGTGGAGTAGGGAAGACAGAAATGTTGACTAATTTATCATTTTGATGTATAGAGTTTCAGGTACATGTAATTAGTTTAATTATTTATATTATAAAAACTTGAATATTTAATTGCCACATATGCATTTGGTGCTCAGGCCTAATGTTATGCAATTCTGAGTATCGACTGAATCTTGTAACTTATAGAGCTTTCAAGCATAAACGAAAAATTTTATTCGCAGCGTCCAGCAACAGTGCTATGTATGAAAAGTGTGTTACTGCAAAGGAAAAGTTGCTGTTCTTACCAATTATTTTTTCCCTCATTCTCTAAACTGCAGTGAAAAATGACAGCTAACATCGGATTGTTTATTATTGGTAGCACAGTCACTTTTAATACATAAGGCCTACTGCTCTCATAAGGATCTAGCCACACCATATTGCAATGCCTCCCTACCTATTGAAGTACCCACTCTATATCAACACCTGTGATTTTTTAATAGAACAAACATGCTGGAAGGATCTATATTTCTTTTTATCTATATTTATTGTTTCCATTATCTATTTCTCTATGATAAATTGAGATCTGCAGTTAAAGTATAAATGGAAAGTAATATAATATTGTGTTTATTATCAGAAGTCTACAAGAATCCTTCTAATGAGTTAATGAATAATTAAACAGTTATAGTCATTGAGCAAGCTTTCTTCAAGCACTACCTGAGCCTGTTGAATGCTGAAAATGCTGAAGTGGAGCTATGTATTCAAGTTTGTGCCTGCTCTAATGGGGCCATGAAAACCTTACATCTAATTGCCTTAATCCTTCTCAAGATTTTCTGTATAATGTTATAAGGAGGAGCCAGCTGGGATTTAAAGATAAAACTGTTCACTGCAGGGATACGTTTATCCCTGCTTTTCACAAATGTTTTCAAAAGAAACTAAACAGGACCTTATATATAAAAGGCTGCTGGAAGGAAAGTGCTTGCCTTGCATATAGAGAATTTGACACTCTGCTACTTTACACCCACCATCTTCTTCTCTGACATTATTGTGAGCTGGCTGTCTCACCTGGGTTCTTGCAGCCAGCCACCTGATGATGCGCATGTGAAGAGGTGCTTCGAAAGGGAGCTGCAACAGCCAGAAAGAGAGACCCAGCCCCCTGATGACGGACAGCGGCACATGCACAGTAGATTACCCCAAGGTATCCTTGGATCTTGGGGGGGGGGTATCCCAGGAGGCTGTGCGTAACTAAAGACATCATTCTCAACTAGGCAAGAATCCATAGAGAGTAGGTAGGGTTCCCTGAAAAAAAATGATAAGGGGGTGGTATGAGTATGCTCAAAGAAAGCCATTTGGGAATAAATGCTAAAGTCACATGGGCCTTAGCATAGGCCCACAAAGTTTCAGGGAAAGCAGGCCAACAGTCATCTTATTATGTTTAAATAGATGAAAACACTATTTGGAGGAATTTTAATTTTCTTTGTGTACTGTGAATCATAAACAATTGCCATGTTTTTTCCCATAAAATACTATTTTCACTTTTTTCATACTTTTTTCCATCATTGCTGCTGATTTTTTCTTTCACCCACTCACTGTCTACTTGCATTCACTCCAGTGTGG